CTCTCTCTCTCTCTCTCTCTCTCTCTCTCTCTCTCTCTCTCTGTCTCTCTGTCTCTCTGTCTCTCCCTCCAGCAAAGTACTACAGCACTAAGGAGTATATGTGGAACTCAAAGCTAGGCCCCCTGTAGCCAAGATCTTCTATGTCTAATTTTGTAGACAAGGAAACCGAGGTTCAGAGATGTTGATAACCTATCTGAGCTCGCTCAGCCAGTCATGGCAGACGGGTTCTGTCCAGCCTCAATTTCCCATCTATAAGTGTCAGGGTGAGGATAGTTTCCCCTGGATAGCAGCTGGACCCTGACCTTGCCCCATGGCCCCCAGGGGACAACCTGCAAACGGCTGTCACTGTGGCCCAGAGCTGCGGCATGGTGGGCACCCAGGAGCGTCTGGTCATCGTCCATGCCACCCCTCCTGAGAGGGGTCAGCCTGCCTCCCTTGAGTTTCTGCCAGTGGAGCCCTCTGCGGCTGTGAACGGGCCTAAGGTGAGACTGACCCAGAGTTCCTCCCACAAACCCCACTGGTGACCCCACCCCTGTGTCACCTGACCCAGGCCCCAGCTCCTCCGGGGTGGACAGGGGGAGCTGAACTGAACTTCCCGGACCCCCAGGATCCTGACCAGGCCTCAAGCTACATCGTGGAGCCAGACCCCCGATTCAGCCACCTGGCCCTCAGCGGGTTCACCTTTGCTGTCCTTAGGAAGCACTTCCCCAGGCTGCTGCCCAAGGTAGGGCTGCCCCGGGCCTCCCTGGTTGCCCTGGGCCTCCCCCCCTCCCACGCTCTGCTTCCTGCTCTTGGCTCTCCCACCCCTACCCTGTGTCTGCCTCAGCCCCTCCCCCCTCGCTGTGCTCCCAGGTCCTGATCCAGGGCACCATCTTTGCCCGCATGGCCCCTGAGCAGAAGACGGAGCTGGTATGCGAGCTGCAGAAGCTTCAGTGAGTGCATGTGGGCAAGGGACCCGGGGGGGCGGGCTGGTCCATGAGTTCCTGCCTCCCACCACAAGCCCTCAGGAGAGAACCCACGCAGGCGCTCTTGGGACTGTCATGCTCAAGTAGTAATTGCACTTAATTACTGAGCACTTACTATGTACCAGGCACCATACGGGCAGTAGGGATCCAGCCATCCCATGGTCTGCCAGCAAGCCCATGAGGTGGGTGGGATCCTTTCATGGATAAGGAGACGCCTCACAGGCTCAGGGCCAGCGTGTGAACCCAGGCCACGCCTGCCCACCCCTCTGTGTCAGGTACTGCGTGGGCATGTGTGGGGACGGCGCTAATGACTGCGGGGCCCTGAAGGCGGCAGACGTGGGCATCTCGCTGTCCCAGGCCGAGGCTTCAGTGGTCTCACCCTTCACCTCGAGCGTGGCCAACATTGAGTGTGTGCCCATGGTCATCAGGTGAGGCGGGCAGGGGGCCGGTGGGTGAGGGCTGACCTGTCAGCCAGCCTGGGCCCCCTAATGCTCATACCTTGCTTCCCAGGGAAGGCCGCTGTTCCCTCGACACATCCTTCAGCGTCTTCAAGTACATGGCCCTGTACAGCCTGACCCAGTTCATATCCGTTCTAATCCTCTACACGGTGGGTACCTGCAGAGCTCCCTGCACAGAGCCGTGCCCAAGAGCAGGCCCATGCCAGGCCCAGGGCGAGGACACTCAGCAGTGTGGTTAGGAGCTCGGCTGGGTCTGGAATAGATGATGTGGCCTCAAATCCTGCTCTGCCACTTTCTAGCTTTATGGCTTGGGCGATTCCTGAGCCTCAGTGGCCAGCGGCTTGCATGAGATGATGAAAGCCTTGAGCACAGAGCCTGTAGGTTCTCAGAAACGTGACGGCTGTCTTGTGCTAACATTTCGTCCCCGTCCTCTGGGAGCTCCCCGTCTGTGGGGGACAATGACACAAGAGCCCAGGCAGGGGCAGAGGACGTAGAGTCGAGAGTGGGACAGAGCCAAGGCCCCAGCCCTTTCCTATGGACCCACCTGTCTCCCTGCTCAGGGGCGCCTCGCCTTGTCTGCGCTGAGCACGTGCCCTGGCTACACGGAAAGCAGGCCGGGCCATGGAGCGGTGCAGATCTTATACTAGAGTCTGTCCCTGTGTCCCCGAGGGCAGGATGTGTGTGTCCTTCATTAACCTAGGGACTCCACAAGGCACAGCCTAAGCCTCCCCTCAAGCTGGGAGTTCGCTACAGGTTGGGGAACCTGCCCCATCTGATGGGGGCCTCCCGAGGTCCGCGGGGCTGCCTTCTCCCTCAGACTGGGAGAGGAGCTCCCTAAGGGCAGGGCGGGTGCCTCCCCCGTCAGACTCGGGGCCACCTTTCCCTCTGCTCTCCCTCCCTGCCGGCAGATCAACACCAACCTGGGCGACATGCAGTTCTTGGCCATCGACCTGGTCATCACCACCTCGGTGGCCGTGCTTATGAGCCGCACGGGGCCGGCGCTGGCGCTGGGGCGGGCACGGCCACCAGGGGCACTGCTCAGCGTGCCCGTGCTGAGCAGCCTGCTGCTGCAGGTGGCCCTGGTGGCTGGCGTGCAGCTGGGGGGCTACTTCCTGACTGTGGCCCAGCCCTGGTGAGTAGGGAGCCCACCCCCAAATCCCACCCTTGCCCTGTCCTTTGTACACTCGCTCCCTGAGCCCTGGTCTCCACACCCCCAGGTTCGTGCCTCTGAACAGGACCGTGCCTGCCCCGGACAACCTGCCCAACTATGAGAACACAGTGGTCTTCTCTGTGTCCAGCTTCCAGTACCTCATCCTGGCTGCAGCTGTGTCCAAGGGGGCGCCCTTTCGCCAGCCGCTGTACACCAACGGTGCTGCTGCGTGGGGGGTGGTGGTGAGGGGGTGGCCGGTGCCTATGGGGGGCTCCCCCTGGGCTTGTGTGTGAGTGGGTGGGGGCTCCCTGGCCTGACGGGCTCCCCCACCCCCAGTGCCCTTCCTGGTGACCCTGGTGCTCTTGGGCTCCATCCTGGTTGGCCTCCTCCTGGTCCCCGGCCTCCTGCAGGGGCCACTGATGCTGAGGAACATCGCTGACACCTGCTTCAAGCTGCTGCTGCTGGGCCTGGTTGCCTTCAACTTCGTGGGGGCCTTCTTGCTGGAGGTGGGGCCCGCCATGTGTTGGGGTGGGAGGGGCCCTCTGGGGATGGGACTCTGCCACAGCTGCCCCTGTGCCACTGTCCCTGTCCTCTGCAGAGTGTGCTGGACCAGTGCCTCCCAGCCTGCCTGCGGTGGCTCCGGCCCAAACGAGCCTCCAAGAAGCGTTTCAAACAGCTGGAGCAGGAGCTGGCGGAGCAGCCCTGGCCGCCGCCCACTGGGTCCAGGGGATAGTGCATCCTGTCCAGCACGAGGGACACTGGATCTCCCTGCCTCTGAGCCACGACTGGGCCCCATCTCAGAGACACACCACCACCAATCTCACAGCCCTGAGGTTGGCAGTTGTTACACTCCTGCCCCAAGTCTGCCCGGCCCAGGCTTTCTTGCTCCACCTGGGGAAATACTAACTATTATTGTCCCCCTCTTCAGACATCCCACGTAGAGACAGCAGCCACCAACCAACCCCTCAGAGCCGCTGTTAGTGTAGCAAATAAAGTCACTATTTTCCTGGCTCAGCCGTGCCTGTCTCCTACCTAATACCACTGAGTCAGATGCCCTCCTGGCACCCCCGAATTTTTCGGATCACATTAGACAACCCCCCCCTCTCTGGGCCTTCGTTTTCTCATCTGCTAGTAATAATATTTCCAGGTTGAGTACGTGCCTGGTGTTCAGTTAAGCATTTTATAGCATTGTCATTTAATCTTCACGACAACTGTGGATTACTGTCCCCATTTTACAGATATGGAAACTGAGGCTCAGAGGTCACACAAGCAGTCAGAGGTGAGGCTAGATTGCTTTGACTCTTAACCTTCCACCCCTCCTGCAGGGGCAGAAAAATAAAAGACTTGCCTCATCTAAGTGTTAGCACCTAGGATGCATGGGGGCAGTTCTCTTCCTCCCGCCCCCCCACATCATGGGATGTGTTTGTGGTGCAGTTCCTCCCTCAGATGAAAATCCAGGCTCTGAGCCCACATCTCCCAGCCAAAACCACGTGCGCTGTCCCCCAGGGGAGGGTGGGTGCTTCTGCCCTCATGCCACTAACGGGACACTGGCCAAGCCCTACTCCGGAGATGCAACTCGGTCACCTGGCCCATCTGAGCCTGGCAGGCGAGAAGGAAACAGAGGCTGATTCCTGCCCTCCAAAGCCCTGCCAACATCATTACCGGAAGCCCTGGCACCATCCCCAGGCCTGACCCCGTAGGAGCTCAGTAAATTTTGACTCAAACTGAGGAGAAGGGATATGGGGTGTAAAAAGGAAATGTAATAGGTACATCCACAGACCTGCACTGGGCACTGAGTCAGCCAGCTACAGTTCAGGGTGGCATTTGCTGTTCAAGGGGAGGTCGGAGGACACAGGGAGAGGCCTGGGTTCGAATCCCTCCCCTACCCTCAGCCAATTATTCATGCGTTGAGGGGGCAGTCATGTGCCAAACACATGGGCTACACCAGTGAATAAAAACGGCTTCTGCCTGTGTGCAGCGTGTAACCTGGTGTGAGAGACAAGCGGGGAAGGAACAAGTCTCCATGGACATTGAGAGAAGAGCACCCACACCCCCTCCTGGAATAGCTGCCACCTCTGCTTGTGTTCCTCGGGCCAGGGGAGTGGGTGGAAGCAGCAGAGAGGATCTGGGAGCCAGGACACAAGGGTTGGCAGCCCCCTTTTTGTTAAATGTAGGGGGCAGGGTTTCTGCCAGGAGGTTTCCTCCTACCCTAACCAGGATCACGCCAAGCAGTGAAGGGCTAGGGGCGGGCACAGAGGGCTGGGTTGGCCCCCAGAGCCCACAGAACTCCAGGTGAGAAAAGTCCTTGCTACTCTGTGACAGATACTGGAGAGGGGGGTGGCAGATAGTTATTCATTCATTCATTTGACAAACCAGCACAGGAACAAATGATGCATGGGATACAGTAGTCCCCCCCCCCTTGTCTGCAGGGGTTACATTCCAAGACCCTCAGCAGATGCCTGAAACCACAGGTAGTACCAAACCCTATTATACTACAGAGGGTGGGTGCCAAGAAAATTTATACACATTTTAAGAAAGGAGAACTATTAAATTTTTTTATTAGTTTCAGGTGTACAAACCAATGCAATATACTTTTTCACCCCTCACAGAGTGACTACCCCCACCCCATTCAACCGCCCCCACCATATATGTATCTCTTACAATTCCATTGACTCCACTCCCCACATGTACTCCACATCCCATGACAAAATTATTAAAATTGTAATAATAATACTGACAAAAGATGAATACAAGTCACATTTGACTTCTGCAATTACAAGAGGTGCTCAAAGTGGTGACCATCAGCGTCCAGACACTTGTGATGACGGTGAACTACATACTGCTTGAACAACGTTGACCAAAGCGTCCACTTGTATACATTTTTTTGGCACCCCCGGTATGTTTTTTCCCTATACATACATAGCTATGATAAAGTTTGTTAGGCACAGTAAGAGATTAACAACAGTAATAAAATAGAACAATTATAATGACATACTGTAATAAAAGCTATGTGAATGTGGCATCAGTTAGTAAAATAAGGGTGGCTTGAACACAAGCTCTGTGATTCCGTGACAGTGGATCTGATAACTGGGATGGCTACTGAGTGACTAGCAGGCAGGGAGCGTATGCAGCGTGGATACGATGGACAAACGGATGATTCACATCCGGGCTAGACAAAGCGAGATGGTTCGAGATTTCATCACGCTACTCAGTACGGTGTGCAATGTAAAACTTATGAAACTTCTGAAATTTTCTATTTAACATTGCCAGACGGTCGTGTTCCATGGGTTACTGAAACTGGAAAGCAAAACCACGGATAAGGAGGGACTACTTTCTAATAGCATTCAAGAGTCGTAAGGGATTGGCAGTGGAGGGTGTGACTGGAGGCAAGGAGATCTGATGGCAGGGCCTGAATCAAGGGGCACCCCAGTCTCCTCCTCCCAGCCTGACCCCCCCTGCCTCAGGCCTCAGCTCCCATGACCAGGCAGGTCTAAGGACTGCCCTAGAGGCAGGGGATCTCCATCCCCTCAGCCCCCATAGCCAGGCTCTTTCAGGAGAATCAAGTGTACATTCATTCATTCCACAAATATTTACTGAAGAGCTGCCCTGAGCCTGCTACGGTGCCTAATGAGCAAAACCAGGAGGAGAAAAAACACTTTGTCCCTGTCTTCACGTGGCTGACAGGCTCATGGTGGGGGGGAGGGGGCAGATTTCAAATGGTCCCACAGACATAGGACAACATGACATCTGTGAGCAGTGAAGCAGAAGGTGCTTTAGGAACGTGACAGAAAGATGGAAAAAGCTCCTCTGAGGAAGGGGGTGTTTGACATAACCCGAAAGAAGTGCATCTCACCAGTGTTCCAGGGGCAGAAAAGCCAGAGCAAAGGCCCAGTGGCAGCAGAGGACGGGGTGCAGTGAGAGGTGCCAAAAGGGAGTGCGGCTGGAGGGGGACCAGGCAGGGAATGAGGAGGCTGAGTCAGGCCACCATGAAGGGCCCCTGGGGGCCACAGGGGAGCTTAGCCTTGATCCTAGGCACCATGGGGGACCATGGCTTTAGGTAGAAGCGGGCAGGCAGGGTCTGAGGTGGGTGGGGAAGGGCAGGGCCCACCTGGGAAGGCTCAGATTGGGGGTTATTACAGAGTCCAGGCAAGAGATGGTGGTTTACACCACCGTGGGCCCCGGTGGACAGACTCGAAAGATTTTGGAGGCAGAATCAGTGGCTGGGTGCTGGATTGGATGCAGAAGCTGATGGCAGGGCACAAAGCCTGAGTAATGTAATGTGAGAGTGGTGGTGCCACTCTGAATGGGAACATCTTTGATGGCCAGGTCTGGGGGAGGACCGGGAGGTAGTGGACTTAGATTCTTGTTGGATCTGATGTGCCTTGGGGACATTTGTGGGGCCAGGCCCGGTCGTCTAGAGCCCTCTTCTAAAAAGAAATGCTGGTTATGGAAGCCCATCACGGCCCAAAGATGGCTAAGGAGACCCAGAAGGCACAGCCAGAGGCAGGAGGAACACCGCGCCAGGGAGGGTGTCCTGGAAGCTGGGAGAAGCCAGAGGGGAACGCAAGGCTTACTTCTAGCTGAATGGCTGTGGGTGAACTGCCTATATAAACCTTGCTTTCCTTCCCTGTAAAATGGGGTAAAACGCTCGCCTCACCCACCTCACCCCTGACTGGGGGCCAGATATGATGGGGAGATGAGAAAGCACAGTTCTGCACAGTATGAAGTGTTGAGCAGACATAACGTTTGTTCCGCAGGCGCCGCCCCAGACCCCAAGGCCGCCCCAGAAACGGGTTGAGGACCCCAGGGCGAGGCGACCCGGGCGGCGGAGCTCGCGTTAGGACCCAGCGGATCCGGGGCTGGAGGGCGGGCGCCGGCCCGTCGGGGGCCAGGAGCGGGGCTCGCAGCTGGCAAAGGGGCGGCTCCAGCGGGCGGACTCGGAGCCGGCGGCAGAGTGACCCGGCCAGGTAGGTGCGGGCCTAACGGCGGGATCCGGCGGGAAGCGCTCGGGGTGCCCGGGCCGCGCGGGGCAGGGGCGTCGGAGAGACCCCAGAGGCGGGTCCCCGATCCTGGGGGGCGGCTGTCGGGGTTCCTGAACCCGGGCTGTCTGAGCAGATGCTAAGAGGGTACTTGGGAAGTTTGGGGTCGCTTTGAGGGGAAGGCTTGAGTTGCGAAGGGAGGAGAGTCCGTGTTGCGGGGGGAGCCAGAGGTGGGGGCGTCGGGGATGGGGTGGCTTTTGTTCTCCCTGGGAGGTTGGAATGTGGCGGGTGGGGTAGGGGTGTGTGGCGGGAGCGCGGGGACAGAGACGCGGAGAGACAAAGAGAGATCAGAGACTGGGGAGCGCGCCGGGGCGCGTCCGTGGCTGATTGTTCCCAGCTGTGCGGGCTGCAACATCTGGTTTCCTCCAGCCGGACCCCATCCCGGCCTCCCGAGCTGGTAGAGGCTCCGTCCGAGTGAGCGTGGGGGCAGGGGGCTCTTAGTAGGCCCCGCTTGTGTCCCTCCCTCCCCTCCAGGAACCCAGAGAGGAGGGGGTCCACAGCTGTAGAAGGAGTGGGTAGTCTCCCCAGGCAGGTCCTGGCCTCCCCTACCCCCAAAAATCCATAGTGTAGAAGTGCTTGGAGATACCCCCAGCTATAATACTCGGCCCTCACTGGACTCTCCTCTTTACAGCCACACCCCTTGCCCTGGGTCCCTTCCCCTAAGAAGCCTGGGCCTGGGTGCCAGACCTCCTGGGAGTCCATGCAGGGGGCTGAGACGCCAAGGAGGGGCTTTGGGGCCAGACAGAGGCCTTTTCCCTCATGCACCTCTCAAGGCCCCTTAAGCCCCAACTCAGGGCCTCCCCCTGAGTGGTGACAGCTCCGACCAGCCTGGCTGCCACCAGCCAGGGGGGACAAGGACGGGATAGTGAGGCCCTGCGGGGAGTTGCAAGGCAGGCGCTCCAGGTCTGTCAGTTACTCCTTCCAGGAGGAGGCCAAGGGTTTTTGGAATGGGGACGTGGGGAGCCAGATGTCCCCCGCCTCTGGTGCAACTTGAGTCCTGAGTCTCTTCCTCTTCCACCCACCCATCCCCCAGTTACCTCACCCACCTCACCGGACTGCAGCGAGGGTTAAGGAAGGGAGTGAGATGTTGAATGCCTGAAAAGGGCAGGGGTCACAGAAGTCTCGGGACTGGGGCAAGGAGAGAAAGATGTCTACATTTCTGCCCCTGTCCTTCCCCTCTCCCTAGATTCCCCAGGGGAAGTGTGGCAAAGGTAGATTTCCGGGTAGCTTTCTGGAAGAACTCTGTTTGTTGTGGCCGGGAGGGGGCCTCCTGGATACATGACCCCTGTGGGCTCTCTCCCAGCCCTCCCAGCAGAAGGCTGACAGTCTGCCCTCCACTGAGCTGGAACTGAACATGGGGACCTGTAGACTCTGCCAAGTCCACTGTGAGGCCAAAGACTGGAGGCTGGACTCAACCAGGGGTTCTTGAACTTCAAGAGCCTGGTGAAAGCTATGAGCCGCTCCCCTGTCCCTCCAAAATCACACACACACACTGTTATACAATATCAGGGGGTGCAGCACCCCTAAGCTAGGTGACATTATGGTCCTCTCCAGCGCTGCCCTTCTAGGAGCCAGAGAAGCCCTCATTAGACTCCACCCTAAGTGCTTCCTGCTGCCGCAGACAAGTAGACCACAGTCTCGTGAGTCTGATGGACAGCCAGGTCTTGGGAGGCCTGGCAGGAGAGGAATCTTTTGGGGGTGGGAGCCCTGCCCAGGCCTGGCTCCCTTAGGGGCCCCTGGGGCCTGTGCATGCAGTTTCCTGCTGATCAAGGGCCCAGGGGCTAATTGGGAGCAGGTGGTGGGTTTGGCAGACGCTGCTGAGTCCGGGCCGTGATGTTGTCTAAACAGGGCTGGGGTCCCCAGGATGGGCCTGGGGTCAGAGATTCACATGATCCTTGTATTAGACACCTGGGGAGGTGCTGAACCAGAGGGTGGGTGTGGTAGTGGGTACAGAGAGCGGGGTCAGGGCTGGTGGGGGATTAGAAATGTCCCCTTACTAAGCGGGGCAGTGTAGGGTCTGTCCATTTGTCAGGATCAGCCTTGAAGCCAAATTGGAGGTCTTGTCCCTTGGGACCTGAACATTCAGAGGGCCACCAGGGAGGGCAGATGTCCCTCCAAAGTAGCTCCCCCTCCAGATCCCCAGGCCCTCCATATGCCTGGTTTCTATTCCAAGGGCCTCCTTCTCCAGGCTGAATTCAGGGGAGCAGAGGTGGGTTCCGTAGGCCTGGGTTAGTGGGCCTGGGGTGCAGCTCGTCCCCTCCTCTTCCTCTAGCTGTCCTCTGACGTCAGCCCAGCCCGTCTCTCTGTGTAGCCATGAGAGCTGCCTACCTCTTCCTGCTCTTCCTGCCTGGTAAGTGGCTCCTGGGGATGGGGTGGGGGATCCCCTTATGTGGGCAAGAGTAAGGTTTGTGGCAGGAGAGAGCTGGCAGTGAGTCTTTTTGTGCCCTATGGACAGAACTCAGCTGCCCGGGTCCCAGGGCCCCTGCCTCCTGGCCAGCCCCTCCCAAATCTGAGGCATTTCCTGTGCCCTCACCCTAACTGTCCCAGCAGCAGGCAGGCAGGATCCTGGAGACACACAACCAGGCACCAGGAGTTCATGTTTTCTTCTTACTTACCGACCCTCCAGGAGCTGATGTGCGGGAGTAGGGGGCACCCAAGGCAGGGAGTCTGGAGGCCTGGGTTTTAGACCCATTTGGGGCCCAACCACCCTATACAATCCTCACCTTAGAGGGGTCCCTGTTGGTCAAGTGAGGAGTTATCAGTGGGGATCAAAAGGCCCTGCCAGGCCTAACATGCATTCATTTAACAGATATTTGTTGAGCTCCTACTATGTGCCAGGCACTGGGCTAGGCCCTGGGGATAGAGCAATGAACCAGACAGGCAAATCTCTGCCCTAGTGGCGCTGCCAGTGTAGGGAAGGGAGGCCTATATTATCAAGTAGACGTGATAAATGTCTGATTGTGTTAAGTGCTATGATGGAAGTAAACAGGAGGATGAGATGGATAGGGTGGGTGGGCTAGCAAGAGCCTCTTAGCAGAGCTGAAATTTCAGTTGAGATCTGAAAGAGAAGGTAACTAGGATCATAGGCCTAAGGAGAGTCAAGTGCAAAGGCCCTGGGGCAGGCAGGAGCACGCTGAGTTCCAGGAACAGCCGGCAGGCCAGCGTGGGGGAGATGGGCAGGATGATGTCAGTGAGGTGACACAGGACCAGAGAGTGTAAGGACCTTTATGGTTGAAGAAAGAGTTTGGATCCTGTGGGTCTAAAAGTCTGGTTACAAGGGTCTTCAGGTTTCGCAGGCCTGCCTGACCTCTATCTACCCTCCCAGAAGTGCCTCAGGGACCCTGCTGTCCTTCCCTGCTGGGCACCTCCTCATGTTTTGCCTCCCCCCAGCAGGCCTGCTGGCTCAGGGGCAATATGACCTGGACCCATTGCCGCCATTCCCAGACCACGTCCAGTATACCCACTATAGCGACCAGATCGGTAAGGCCTTGCCTACCTCCCCTGATGTCCACCCCCAGCCCCTTGCCACATCATCAAGGTCTGGCTCCCCAGATGTGCATGGCTCAGCCGGGGCCCGGGTGGGGTAGGGTGAAATCTCGGCAGGGGTGGTCCCTGGCTCAGGGGAGCCCTGCTTTGCCCCTGGGACTGGGAACTAGCCTGACCCCCGATTCCATATTCATCTTTGTTTTCAGACAACCCGGACTACTATGATTATCAAGGTAAAGGGTGGGGTTGGGATAGAATGGGCAGGCATCTGGGTGGGGGAGCCCATGGAGCCCTGGGGAAGGGGAGAAGGAGCAGACCCCATTATGACCTGTTGCAGAGGCAACTCCTCGGCCCTCCGAGGAACAGTTCCAGTTCCAGTCCCAGCAGCAAGTCCAACAGGAAGTCATCCCGGCCCCCACCTTTGGTAGGCCACAAGCTCCTGTCAACCCTGGGAGTTGGGGGTCTGTGCCGGGGATGGGAGAGGTGACCCCCCCATTCTGCCCTGAATAGACTTCCCTCAGTGATCTCTGCCTGCCCCTTTCCCAACCCTAGAGCCAGGAAATGCAGACACGGAGCCCACGGAGCCCGGGCCTCTTGGTAAGAGCTTTCCTGACAGCTGGAGAAATAAGCATGGCCCCGGAAGCTGGGGTGGAGTGGAGTGCAGCCCTGGTAGCACAGAGACAGCCAAGTCTTTTGCTCTTGCTGGGTAGGTGGTGGGGTGGGGGGCTTGCAGATGTGCCCCAGCTTTAGGCCAGCAACTCCAGGGCCCCCTAGGCAGCTCTGGGATATCCCCCTGGGCCTGGCTGGAGGCTGAGTTGGCTGCTGCCTTGGGAGGGGCCCTCTGCTCCCAGACGCTGGGGAGGGGCAGGGAGTATGCTGGGGGCTTCCTGGCAGCCGTGGTGCTCTGGCAGGGAAGGCACGAGAGGCAGGCAGCCCAGGCTGGCTCAGCAGGCCAAGAGCCTGAGAGAGCGAGACTGTGAGATCCTGTCTCCCCCTCCTGAGCTCAGTGCGGTAGCGTGTGCTCCTGGGAGGTTGGTTTGGACTTTTGTGACCGTGTGCGCGCGCGTGCGCATGTGTGTGTGTTTGTATGTGTTTGAATATATGCTTCAAAGTGCGGTTGTGAATTTGTATATCTGTAAATACCTTGTATAAAATTGGGCAGTCCCAGCAAGTCCAATAATACGGCGTGTGCATGCGTTGGGCGTGTGTGTGTGTGTGTATGTGTGCGTCTAGGCTGGGCCAGGGGGTGCAGGCCATACCTAGACCCTGAGAGAGGCGGTCTCCAGTGGGTGAGGTTGGGGGCTGCCCCTTCAGCCCCGAGCCCCAAGCTGAAGCCTCCAGTCTGATCTCACCTATCACCCAGACTGCCACGAGGAGCAGTACCCCTGCACCCGCCTCTACTCCATACACAAGCCCTGTAAACAGTGTCTCAACGAGGTCTGCTTCTACAGGTGAGCATAGCCCCTGGGGGGAGGTGGAGGGGGCAGCTCCAGCCAGCCCAGGTGGAGCTTGGGGAAAGAGTGAATCCTGAAGTTGAGCTCGACTCTGGTTGAGTCATAGCCTGGGGGCCTGGGACTCCCTGGGTCCAATGCCAGGGCCTGTCCAGGCTCCCAGTGAGGGCTGGGTCAGGGTGGGACTAACTCCCTTGGCCCCATCCCCACAGCCTCCGCCGAATGTATGTCATCAACAAGGAGATCTGTGTCCGCACAGTCTGTGCCCACGAGGAGCTCCTCCGAGGTAGGAAGCCCCTCCCTCCAAGGCCTCCCCCTCCCCCCTGCCCACTCATCATCCATCCACCTGATGTTTATTAAACTCGTGTTAAGTGCCCAGCGCCACTTCCAGGGGATCCTGAAATCAGGATCAGCAGGGCTGGGGACAGGGGAGCAGTTCCTATCGCCTAGCCTCACCCTGACCCCAACTCCTTCCTGTCCCAACAGCTGACCTGTGTCGGGACAAGTTCTCCAAATGTGGTGTGATGGCCAGCAGCGGCCTGTGCCAATCTGTGGCAGCCTCCTGTGCCAGGAGCTGTGGGGGCTGCTAGGGTGGAGCAGGCACCCTGAGCCCTGGCCCCTCCTCGGATCTGGGGCCCTCAGGCCCTGCCTGACCTGGTGCTTTTCTCCCCAGCCTGACATCCCTTTTATTCTGTCAAGTTAGTGGACTGAGACGCTGGGGGTTGCCTCCGGCCCCTCCTCCAGCCTGTGGCCACAGTGGGGACTCCCCACTGCCCGGTCTTCGCCCCCAGGTGGGGGGCCTCCCAGGCCTCTTGGTGGAACCTGGGCCTCCAATGTGCCTTCTCAGTCCCTCTGAGGTAGGCTATGCTCCTCACCCCAGCTGGTCTGCTTGGGTTCCCTACAGCCCCCCGGGCATAGACCACCTCTGTTTTATACAAAATTAAAAACAAGTTTTTACAAAAGATTCAGAGTCACTTTTCCAGAGCAGAACACAGAGGGGGAAGCTAGGTGCCTCCAACACTGTCTTCATTGAGAGGCTACCTGGCCCCTTGGGGAGAAGGGACTGTTCAGGTGACCAGTGGCCTGGCCTTTGCAGTCCTGGCCCTGCCTCTCCACCCACTGGCTTTAGTTCTGACCTGCCAGGAAGGTAGGTGGGGTGTGTGTGTGTGTGTGTGTGTGTGTGTGTGTGTGTGTCACATATAGAAGGTTCAGGGACACAGCTTTCTCATTGTCAGGGCGTGAGTCCCCCATCATCACAGGGGTGCAAGCTAAGATGGGAGGCTACCTGTGTGGAAACATAAAGAGTGTATACAGGGTGTAAGGCAGGAGGTCAAGGTGGATTCTGAGATTAAGAGCTTTGGCAGGGAGAAAGACGGCAAGCCAATAGAATACCTCCCGCTGACCAGCATGTGGAGACCAGGCTCTGCATGAGTGCTCGCGTACAATCCTATTTAACCCTCCTAAAGGGCCTCTGTGGTGCGTACAATAAATATCCCCGTGTTACAGACATGGAAACAGCCCAGAGGCATGAAGTCACCCACCCAAGGGGCCACAGCTAGAAGTGGCAGAGCTGGGGCAGAACCTGACTCCAAGGATTCGGGTCATTTCTCCTTGCAAACACTGAACACCTTCCACGTCTGCCTCCCCATAACCATCCCACGGGGCAGGTTCCCGTTTTACAGATGAGCAGACCGAGGCTGACAGGTTAAGCAGCTTTGGCCAAGCCCACTCAGCAGAGCCAGGGCAAGACTCCACGCTCACTCCCAGGCCTGCACTGGCCACCAAACTTCCTGTCCCTGAAAGCCTGTCGCTATCCAGAGGAGAACGCTCCGGCTGCTGAGTCAAGCTGCAGGGGTTGGGTCACAGCTCCAAGCTTCAACAGCCCCATCTGTTAAATGGGGTGGGTGGCACTGGACCCTGGAGGCCTCCCCACCCCGACATCCTGAGGCTGGTAAGTGCCACCGGCCTTTCTAAAGCCTCTCCACTCCCGGAGCCCCTCACTGGGAGGCCCCATCCCTCTGGCCCCAGGCCCCACCTATCTCCCCTCCCATCTCCCAGGTGGATGCGGCACATTGATAGTAAAGGGACACATCTGCACAAAACGGTTTTTTAGAAAATAGGGTCTTCTTGTTGCAAAAACACAACAGTTCTGAACAGTTAACGTTGTAAAAAGGTATAAAAATACAGGGACTCTGAACTCCAAGGAATTTCTAACAAACACTGAACTAAGGCGGAGAGATCTCCGGGAAGCAGGACAGAGCCTGGGTCTCTGACCCCTGGCTTTGGCTCAGCCTCTCTCAGGAAGGATCTCATACAATCTGGTGTGGCTCATCTATGGGGTGCCCACAGATGGCGGGTGGCTCTGATGATACCAGGAAGCTACTCTGGGTCTGGCCTGGCACCGAGTCCCCGCCTTGCAGAACTGCCCACCCGGCTCCTCCTCACCCCCAGCAGAGCTTTGGTGGCCCCGACAGGCCCAGTCTCTGAGTGGATTGTGCTAGAGAGGCGGTCCCTCTCCTGCCCCAGCCACGGGGCTGCTCCCCAGGACACCAGCTGGGAAGGCGTTCATTTCTCTGGGGGGCCGGAGGCGGGGGAGAAGGACGCTGAGCTCCTTCGAAGCTCTTGCTGCAACTGTCCCTTCAGAGTAGATACCTGGAAAAGAAAGAGAAGGTAGAGCCAGCCCGGCCAGCCCAGGTCCTCAGCCTGATTTCAGAGAAAAGGGGGGTAACTGCCACTGGACCCCAGAAGGGACCCAATGCTGCGTGTTCCAGGAAAAAACAGGTCTCACTAAGAACCAGGGTATTTTCTTCCCTTCTCTTTCTGTTCCATGGCGTAGTCAGTGTCCTCTGACTACTCAGCATCAATATGGGGGTCACCCCATCTCCACTAACCACTCAGACAGGCCTGGCACTAGCCTGACTCCAGGGCTGGACCTGTGACCCAGGCCGGCCTACCAGAGCAGCCTGGCCCTGCAGACATGATTGGGTCAGGGATGGTCAGGAAGGGGCCTGTGATCAAAGCTGGCCAATGAGGAGCATCCCTGGGACTTCTGCTGTTGCTCTCAGAAAAAGACCATCTCTCTCCTGGGATGAAGTGTTGTTGGGATAACCCGAGGCTGGAGCTACTGAGGCCACCCGTGCGGCCCAGGGAGAGGGCCTGCCCGGCATAGGCCACAAGCACGCAGAGCCATGGTGAGGGGGCTGAGTTCCAATGACATCACTTGAGCCCGTGTCCAGCCATTGTTGACACCAGCATAGATCCACCAGACCATTTCCATTATGGGTGCTTATACCCAAGAGGTCACGCTCAGCCCTCCCACTTTTCTCCTCCTCTCCGTCCCCTTCCTCCTCCAGGTTCACACTTCCACCCTGGCCCAGACTGCCAAGGCAGGGAGTCCTGCTGGTTCTGCAGCCCCCTGGGGAGGGGCTGGAGCCCAGCCAGGCCTGAGTACCTGCTCCTCCAGCCCACGCACCCTCTGCCGGTGGGCCCGCTCCCTCGCCTCCAGGGTGCGTTCCGTCTGCACCTGGGCACTGCGCAAGCGCTGCACCTCCTGCTGCAGCTCCAGCTGCTGCTGCTCCTCCCCCTGCAGCCGGGCTGGGCTATGGTCCTGCTCCAGTGCCACCACCTGGGCCTGCAGGGGAGGCCACTAGTCGAGGTCTGGCCCTACGTGTGCATGTGTGCATATGCGCAAGGGGATGTCGGGCACCCAGGGCAGGAGCCTGAAGGCCCCTTGGAGCAAAGCCAGTGCTTGTCCCTGAGCTCCTGGCCTCCTGGTCTGCAGATTAGGGTACCTAGACAGGCATACACACGCACACCCACACACGCACGCACACACGCACGCATACAAACACAGGCCCATATACATACAGGCACAAAAGCAAGCATGCAAATACCTGTGTTTACACAGAAGCAGGAATATGTGCAAAAGCCCAATAACTCCTACATATATCTACATACATGAAGACATCTGTACACACTCATGCTTCTACATGACTGCAACACATATGAAAACACAGGCTCACGTGCTAACTGGTCATTAGCATCTCTTCTCTCTGCTTTGCGGAGGACCCCTCCTCTGGAATCTTTGGGCCACCCCCTCCAGAGTCTGGGCTCGTGGGTTTTGAGGTTGAGGGCCCTGGGCTGACTATCAGTAACTCCTGGGACTGACTACCTAGCACTCAGGCTGGGGGTGAGGGTGGGGTCCAGGGTTGGGTGGGCAGGGGTGGGACCTCCAGCAGCTGGATCTGCCTCTGGGCCTCGGCCAGCTCCAGCTCTGCCCCCGTGAGTGTGCGGTCCAAGCGGCCCTTCTCTGCACTCAGCCGCACTGTGTCCTCGTGGCTGCGGAGTTTCTCCCGCTCCACCTAGGCAGGGACAGCAGGAGGGAAGCAGGGTGCCCAGGAAGGAGGGAGGTCTGGGAAGGGGAAGGGGCTCCGGGAGGGGTGTTAGGGCAGAGGCCGAAGACCCCAGACCCTAGAGACATGCAGTTAGGACCAACCATGGCTAGGACCCAGAGGAAGTGAGGGGAGGACTCTGGGCAGCAGCCTACCTTGTCCAGTGTCTTCTTGAGGGCAACCCGGTCCTTCTCCAGCCGTAGGGCTGACCGCTCCACCTCCCGCTTCTCGGCCTCCAGCTGAGCCAGCGCGCGCTGCAGGCCACCCAGGCGCTCCTGCAGGAGCTGCCGCTCGTCCTGCAGCTTCTGGGCCTTGTGCAGGGCTGCAGCCTCAGCCTCTTGTCGCTGCCGCAGCACCTGCAGCAGAAGCCAGCAAGTCCCTAATCCCTCTGGGCCTCAAGCTTGGGGCTTACGTCTGAAGCTTGGGGAGGACGATGCCAGCCTGCCATGCCCACTCACTCGGCGAGGTGACTGTGAGGCCTGCCCCAGGGAGCTGTCACTCTTTGGGCCTCAGTTTCTTCATCTCTATAATGGGGGTATCATGCTTCCTTCCCGGACTCATGGGTTGTAGGGGTTCCTTCTTCCAACAGGCTGAGAACTGGGTTTGGATAGGGCTGAGATAGGTGGGAAGGTCCCCACCCCACCCCGAGACCCTCTGAGTCCTGGGAACGGAAGGGGCCCACACTGGCCCGCACCTCCTGCAGCTGTTGCAGCTGGCCCTCAGATTCCACGCGCTGCAGCTCCAGGTCCGCCAGGTCGCCCCGCATTGTCTGCACCTGCTCGCCCAGGGAGCTGTTCTGCTTCCGGGCCTCAGATAGCGCCTGCCGAGCGGCCTCCAGCCGTTCCTGGGGGACAGGAGCTGATGGTGCTAGGCTGGCCTGGGAGCTCAGGCCAGGTTCACAGCCCATAAAACAGGTAGTCATCTCACCTGGAGGGTGAGCCAGACAGCAGGTACCCACTGACCTATATAAGGTGGAGATGCCTCAGACCCCAACGCTCCTCCATTAAACCTTCACCTGTACTCGTAGGCTGTTCTCATTTTCCCTCCTCTCATTGGCTGATGCTCTTATTAGGCCCTATCCTCCCTCTCATTGATTGGCTCCTTTGGAAACACCCAGGGTTTCCAACTAACTGCCCATTGGCTGGCTCTCTACCAATCCCTCCAAACCTGCCCTATGGAACTGGGGTCCACACCCAGACAGACCTGGAATCCCCGTACCTGGAGCACTTGCCGTTCATGTTCACAGGCCTTCAGGGCTTTCTGCAGTTGCAGATTCTTGTCCTGGGCGCTGCTGAGGCTGGCACTGTTCTGGGCCAGGGCCTCTGTCAGGCCCTGCACCTTGTCACGCAGGGCTCCTTCACTCTCCTCCATCTTGGCCAGGGCCCCGCTCAGCCGTTCCACTGTCAGCTGCAGAGTCCCTGCCTTCACCTCACTGTCTGCCACCTGGCAGACGGACAGACAGGGCAATAAAGTAGCTGTACTCTCGTTGTGATCTCCAGAAAAACATCCAGTCCAACCCAAGCTAAGCCCACCCCACCTCTCTCTAGGCCTTCATCACTGATACT